AATTGAATTAATTAAGATGAGTAGAGGATGGTAGAAGAGTTTGATTCTTGGAGGTGTTTACAGATAACTTGATGATTCTTGATTTTGATGGATGCATGTTGTTTTTGAAAATGGAATTGTGTTGTGCATATTGTCTAGATGTTGAGATAAAATTTCTTAAGCCAAATAGAAATTTTTCATTAATAAAAAAAAATAAACCGTTGTCTCAGATTACAGAGTTAATGATAATAACACGTAAGAAAGAACAATGCCCAAGGCAAGAACAAGGTTATAGGTGCCCCATCATCTAGTGCAACAGATTCCACATATAAAGGTGGGGCCCAACATCTTCCTACCTCACCAAAACGTAATCTTGCATGGTTAAAGAGTTAGCATGCAGAACGTGAAGCGGAAAATACTGCTAAGGTAATCACGGGTCTAAAAAATGCAACACATTTGCAAGATGATTCCATGCATAATGGAAATGCGTTAATTATGCAAGTTTATGCTCCAGAAGCTGATACATTAGCATTCACAAATGCGATGAGACAATACTTTGATCCGAGAGCTTCTAACAAGGATAAGAGTAGTTTGAACAAGCAAGCTGGAATTGTTCCACATGAAGACTCAAGGGTTTCAAACCCAAATCCCCCATCCGGTTCAGTATGAATATACTAAGTTGGAACTGCAGGGGGGCTGGATGTAAAGGCTTTGTACCTCTTGTGAATGATCTAATTCATGATAATAATGTGGGTATATTGTGTTTGTTGGAAACACATGTTAGTGGTGCAAAAGTGCAGCAAATAGCTCGTCGCATTAAGCTCGACAAATCCTTCGTGGTTGACGCGGTGGGACATGCAGGAGGTATTTGGTGCTTTTGGGACTCAACAAGGTGGGCATTGGAGGTTCTTCATCACTCTAATCAGTTCGTCCATTTTGCGGTTTCTTGTGGCTCAATAACCTGGGAGTTGACGTTTGTCTACGCTAACCCTCATCCACAATTTCGTATAGGCCTTTGGCGAGAACTTAGTAGGATGGCAAAGAATATTCAAAATCCATGGTGCATTATGGGTGACTTCAATGCGGTGTTGAAAGATTCTGAACGCAAGGGAGGCTCACGACCCTCTGCCTGCGTCCGAGGTGATAATGCTTTTAAAGAATTTGTCCTTGAGTGTTACCTGTTGGATATGGGTTACCAGGGAGCCCCTTTTACTTAGAAAAGAGGATCAATTTTTGAAAGACTGGATCGTGTTCTGGTTAGCTTGGCTTGGCAATTGGCTAACCCAAATGCAAACGTCCTTCATTTGAACCCTCTAAAGTCTGACCACTGTCCCATTTTATTGAAATTCTCACAAGCACCAGTTAATAAAATTCGGAGACCTTTTCGTTTTGAAGCCGCATGGCTAACCCACCCTGAATTCCTTTCCTTAGTAAGGGAGAGCTGGAATGAGCAAATGGATTGGTCAAGCAAGGTTAATAACACACAACGATGTTTGCTTGATTGGAATAAAACTACCTTTGGCAATATCTTTTCTGCCAAACGTCGGCTGGTTAGGAGGCTAAATGGAATTGCATCTCGTCTTCTTCAAGAGGATAACCCATTCCTTATAAATCTTCAAAAAGAATTATGGAGCCAATATGAACTGCTTCTTATAAGGGAAGAGTTATTTTGGTTTCAGAAATCCCGGTGCAAATGGTTGGAATTTGGAGATCGAAATACTAGTTACTTTCATGGTACCACCGTTATTCGACGAAGGAAAAACAGGATTGTGAAACTACAAAATGAAGAGGGTGTTTGGATAGAGAACTAACAAGAACTAGAACATTTGGTGACTGACTTCTACAAAAACCTATTTCATGATTCTGGAAAGTATATGCCCTATTGTCTCACTTCCGCATTTCCTTCTCTCACAACCCAGGAATTGGAGGATTTTGCTCAACCTTTCTCGGACATGGAGATTCATAGTGCGTTAAAAAGAATGGGTGGACTTAAAGCCCCTGGGCCAGATGGGTTTCAAGCTATATTCTACCAATCCCAGTGGAATACAGTGGGTAAGTCTCTTTGCCGCTTTATACATGCCTGTGAAAAAGAGCCAAGGAAGATATCTGAAATTAATGCTACCTTGATTACTCTCATTCCAAAAGTTGATAATGTAGTTTCTCTACAACAAATGCGGCCTATTAGTCTATGCAACGTATCCTATAACTGCAGTTCACCAGTCTGAACCCCAAAAGGAGGGCCACGGCCTGCCCAAGCAGAAAAGCTCAGTGGTAACAGTCCGTAACCCCTTAGCTGGGAAAAATCCACAAGTGCCACAAAGAAAGAACAATGCCCAAGGCAAGAACAAGGTTATAGGTGCCCCATCATCTAGTGCAACAGATTCCACATATAAAGGTGGGGCCCAACATCTTCCTACCTCACCAAAACGTAATCTTGCATGGTTAAAGAGTTAGCATGCAGAACGTGAAGCGGAAAATACAGATAATACAATACGCTTTAGAATCCCATAACCTAATAACAACGGCGGCTCTGATACCACTTGTTGAGATAAAATTTCTTAAGGCAAATAGAAATTTTCCATTAATAAAAAAAATATGAACTGTTGTCTCAGATTACAGAGTTAATGATAATAACACGTACCTGTATCCATTAACGTTGATCAAAAGGTTGCAGCGGAATAGTATTTTGGTGCAATGATCTTCCTCAGCCAAATCACTGGATTCCTTGATGGGACTTGATGTTACTCTTCTGATGGGGAGACAGAGAGACGTGTGTTTCT